TCCGACCAGACACGGAGACAGAGGTGAAAGAGAAAGACACAGACAAAGGTGGGGGGTTCCACAAAAATAAACAATCAATGATGAACAAGAGTCTACTTCTAGACATGCAGAAAAGGGACACACAACAATAAAACAGGAGCAAGCTATCACTGCATCAACTTGATGAAGACATATAAAATCAGCATTGTTTTACTGAACAATCACACAATAATAAAATTACAGTGTATTTAGTGCCAACCACAGCTTTAAGACCTGTGTTGAACGTGCCCAAGTCCATACTTATGAGAGGACCATGTGAGCACCTGTGTGCGTACACACTCTTGTATATGTAAGGTTTCTCTATAGGAGCGTCCAATAAAGAGTGTGAGGGGCCACAGATCTGCCCCCAAAGATGTGCAGGAGACGGAGGGAGCTCCAAGTCCCAGAGATCCAGGAGCTGCCCCAGAGTACAGGGACCCCAAGGAGACTGCGACCAGAAAAGCCCATGCCCCCCTCGAGAGGCGCAAAAGATCGCCCCTGGGGGGCCACAACCAGCAGCCAGCAGAGTCCCGGGAGACATCAGCAGCAAGCCCACAGGCCCGTCTGCAGCCTCCGACCCCCCCAGCCGGCCGAGCCTGGGACCCAGCGACCCAGGGGCGACCACCCCCACCGGGGACCCAGCAGAGCCCAGGGACCCAGATCCCATCAGGCAGCCACCGGGATTGATCAGGCAGACGCCAAAAATCTTAAACCATCTGACCCGGGAGCCACGAACACTCAGGCAGACCAAGGCACAGCACTCCACACCAGGTGTGGTGGGGGAGGAGAGACGAAGATCTATATCATCAAAAGAAGTCCCAGGAGAAGGGAGGAGTCAAAGGCCCCACCTGACATATACAGTCATACACAGACACAGTCACACACTCCCTTCCTCATGCTCACACATACACATACAACCAAAGACTTACAAAAATGGACACCGGACACCCACTCATGCTCCCCATACACACCCTATTCACTCTTGTCCTGGTACTGCTGCACATGGGGTACAAACATTACCGGTTCCCAGAGTTCTACCCTTTCTGCTGGGGTGACCCGCACTTGTATAGCGCCTCTCAGAGTAAGGACTCCAAAGCACTTTACAATACAGTGTATCATTCATCCATTCACACACACATTCACACACTGGTGGGGATGAGCTACGATGTAGCCACAGCTGCTCTGGGGCGCACTGACAGAGGCGAGGCTGCCGAGCACAGGCGTCGCTGGTCCCTCCGATCACCATCAGGAGGCAAGGTGGGTTAAGTGTCTTGCCCAAGGACACAACAGCAGAATTCTCTGTCCGGAGCTGGGATTGAACCGGCAACCTTCTGATTACTGGACAACCCGCTCAACCTGTTGAGCTACTGCTGCCCAGGATGCTGATGAGCAGGCTCCCCCACCCAATGCTGAGCAAAGCAACCCACCACATGTGTTTATTTATTCCTGCCATCAGACCCCAACGAGACGGCCGGATCTCCCTCCTATCCTCCAGCCCTGGGAAGCCAAGCGACAACAGGGGTGTGCTAAGACCCCTAGTCTCCCTTCACCTGCACCCATATAGTGTTAGTGCGTGTTGATGAGGTGTATTCCATGTCTGTGGTGAGCGGGCATTGCAGACATCGTCTGGCCTACGCCAGCTGATGCCACCACACCACCCCACTTGCATACACAGCCCTCTGTGTCTATGTGCAGTTTAAAATTGGAAGTGGGCACCGGCACTCGGGATGAGGCTGAAAAATCCCCCTGCCAAATGCTGTTGAATGTGCTCACTCCCAAGGCCCTAAGTGTGTGTTTGCGTGGAATGTCATTAGTGGAAGTGTTTAATGTGCAAATAAAATTGGGGGGCAGGTTGCCACAGGAATGCGGAAATGGGGTCCATACCCGCACCCCCTGACATGTTTACCCACCAAGGTCCTATGTGCATTATTGTGTGCTGATGTGACGGAGCAGGAGGAGAAAAAATGTGTGGGGATGGAGAGGAATGGCTGGTTGGCCTAAGCCCTCCAAGGAGCCAGCTCTTCCACTGGCCCCAATAGGCACCTCTGTTCTCAAAATTCCCCCCAGGGCATGGAGACCCCAGCCCATCTTGCCAGGCAGCCCCCAGTGAACCTACTTCCAGGGAATGTCCGGATACTCCAAACTCAGACCTGGCTGTTAAGTTTAAAAATATATATATTTTGGGGAAAAACCCAGGGAATTCCCTTGCATGCTGAGGATGGGGGGTGACCAAATATGATTAAAGGTGCAGTATGTAAAAATGGCGGCGTGTCTCCTGGGAGCTAATACTGCAGCACTGACATCGATGGAGTGGCATAAAGCTCCAGAGTTGTTTAAAGTGGTTGCAGCAAGCACATTTTACCACAGGAAGTCATTTTACTTATTTTCTACATAATGCACCTTTAATTGAGGGTGTATCTGTATGTTAATGACAGAGAAAAGACACAAGCACCTGGGTACGCACAGGTGGGATTTATCATCAGACGACTGCAGAGAAACGAGAGACCAGATCAGGTTTTCGACAGTTCGTACAAACATTTTAAATTTCGATCAAAGGGAGGAATACAGTATAGAACAGTTTCTACGAGCATTTATTAAATGAGGGCCCAGGTGTTGGTTGTGATCTGTGCTACAGAGCTGACTGTAACTCTCTCTCACACACACACACACACACACACCCTAACTTGGTTTAAGTTGAAATTTTCATAGTGGTGTTTCCTTGTCTCACTGATGGCAGGAATAAATAAACACATGTGGAGAACGAAAGCAGAGCCGATCACTTTAGCAGGATGCATGCAAATCTGTTGATTCCAGGTGGGAATAAAGTTTGTTTTGCAGAATTGTCAGCATGTAGCTTATATAAAAACACTATGCTGAGGACAGAATCGGCATGCTAAAATAAGATGAACTACTGAAAAAAATCTGAACAAAAATCTAAAGAAAAGGAATAAATTTGGAGGGAAATTGACTTGTGACACGTGTGGGAGATGGGAGCAAACAAAGGTGTGTGTGTGTGTGTGTGTGTGTGTGTGTGTGTGTGTGTGTGTGTGTGTGTGCGTGCGTGCGTGCGTGCGTGCGTGCGTGCGTGCACGTGTGTGTGTGTGTGTGTGTGTGTTAGACCTCTGATTTACAAAGCAGTTCCTTTCTCTCTCCATCCCATCACTTTTGTCTCTCTTCCTTCAATCAACCCATTTTCTCTTTTCCTTTCAAGCTCAGTCATCCTTCCTTCCTCCTGCTTTCATTCAAAGAGTTTATAGACTGAGAGCCTCCCTCTGTCCTACTGGAACATACGACAACACCCAGAGGTCCAAACATGAGAGAGGCTGAGGAGCAGAGCCCATCCACATTCTCCTCTCTCTTTCCTTCCTTACTGCTGGGAGATGCAGTAGAGGCACAAAACGAGAGGGCCCGTGAAGAGCAGAGGTGATGTGAGACCATGGGGAGGACAGCAAAGGACAACATTCTGAGAGTTCTGCTTTTGTTCATTTGGAGGTCCTAGAATCAGCAGGTCAAGATTCCTAAAAAGAAACAAGAACTGAACACAGTTCAGGTGATAGTTTGGTTCTATGTTGCTAACCAGCATTAGTAATTTGGAGTATTTGGTGTTAATTTTACTCTAAGCCATTGTTGTTGGATGACGTCAAATCAGCACAGAACTGTGAATTATTACTTATTGTTGAATGATTTCATGTGTCCTATAAACTCATGTTTTCTAGATGTTACCAGCAGTCCTGTTAGCCTGGTCTCAGTGAACAGCTGTTTCCAGCTCCCACAGCTGTGGGCTGTACGGGTTTCATAATAAAAACCACTACTTGTCTTCTTTAACCCGAGCTTTAGTCTCTCACTTCTCTCCGGGATTAAAGTTAATTAAACTGCCCTCACTTGTCAGATCTGGATATCTGATTATTTTTGCCTTTACTTGGAATTAGGAAAGATGACCCAGATGTCCTAAAAACTGCCAAACAAGATCAATGGCTGCTTAGATCTGGTCTGGTTGGGCCCCAGGGAGAAACCATGAAGAGTGTCAAAGTGAAGGTAAGTAAGTCTTCACCAGCGGAGCTCGTCTGAGTCGTTTGTGTTTGAATGGTTTGTTTAGATTTATTTAAAATGAAGAATGTTTTCCCTTGAGAGTTTGTGTGTTTGTTCTTTAAAGAGCAAGTCACGCTCCAAATCAACATTTTTTGGCTGATAAACTATATAAATGTGTGTCTAATCGTGCTGCAGACACGTGTAGTCAATAGTTTTGCACTTTAGAGCATTTTAGTTAAAATAAAATGTTTCTGCCTAAAACTGTCAGTCTTGTGCCGTTGTCAGGTAAAAACTCTGCACTGCGTTTGAATTTAAATCTGCCATCGCTATTGGCTAAGAGGTACACTATGATGTTGGCTGGTATATTATGATGTCATAATGTCATTGTGAACCTGTGTGTGTGTGTGTGTATTTGTTAGCAGCTCCACCCTCTTGGTCTGCAAGGCAACAGCATTTGTTGCATTTTTCAAACAGGAAGTTGGAGTGGGGTAATACTCTGGTAGGGGGTGACTTGCTCTTTAACCAATCACATGTCTTGCTGGGAGCTTCACTGACACGGAGGAAACACCTTGACTGGTCCAGACCATCTACTCATCCAGGTGACCTCTGTCACCTAGATCTATAATCCACCCTTTTTCCTCATTTTTAGTGAGGCCCTCAAACCAAGCAGCTCATATCACCTTTCGCTATGCTAGCATCGTTTCTGGGTGTTGAACTGCACTCGAGGATTCTTCACACCCAAGTGAGCTTTGGTTCACTTTCCAGTGGATCACCTTGAAGGGTGTCAGAGATCCAGCCAGTGAAGATAAGCTCCAGCGGCCTCTACTGTCAGCAGCAGCTTCAGCTACAAGGGCCTGTGAAGGACACTGCCAAGTTGACATGACGCGCCACCTTGTGGAACCATCCAGTAACAACAAGCTGTCACACAAAGCAGACGTTTGTAACTTATTTACCTTGTTCGCAGGTTCCCAGGGCTGGGTGGCCCATCATACACAGACAAGATGTCAAAGTCCTCCTCGAGAGCGAAGCCTTGAAACACCAGCTGTATCCGGTTGTGCTCCGCTGCCACAATGACCCACGTACAGTTGGCGTAGTTGGGATAGCCGTACGGGTATCCAGGACTCTCTATAGTCCCATTGGGACTGTGTAAGGTGTAACTGCAGTTCTGACCTGGGAAAACAAAATAACAGAATAAAGTTTTTAGAGTTTTTTTAGTGAACACAAGTAAAGCATATAAGTAAAGAAATGGTACAAATGTACACCCACAGTCAAACAGTTGCACCAACATCTATTATCACCTGCAGCGCAGCATAAGGCATTAATATTGTAGCGCTAAGTGGCTCTCCCAGCTTCCCTTACCTTCCCCATCTCCATCAACACACATGTTCACTCGGCGGTCCTTCCAGCACATTAACAACAGGTTCCCGTGCTAATACACCACATGGCTAGAGTGGAGAAGGCGAGGGAGCGGGAGGGGGACACGCACTTGAGTGCTTCTTTAATTAATGTCATCTTTTCTTTTTTTACTCACTTAAACAGCCTTGAATCTGAGGTTTCACTCCTGCACGGTGCAAGAGCGACAGCTCGGAGGGACATATTAAGTATTTGTGTCTGTGTTTTCAGTCTCTGAGGATTTAGCTATGATTGTGCCAACATTTTCCTTTTTTGGTGCAATTCCCACATCTGGAGTGTTTATATGCCTGCAGAGACTCGACTGTAATTGATGGTGCAGTGAGTTGATCTCGTACTTTGGTAGCGATGGTTATCTTCTCCTAGCGTAACAGCAAAGTAAAATCTAGTTTCAACCTCAGCTAAGGGAAAATGTGAGCAGTGAGCTGTCGGTGTGTCTGCGACTAGCGGAACGAGCACAGACTTGGTTAGAGCGATAGCAGCTAACAGGTCTGCACCAAACAATTACCCTTGAGCGTGCTGTTTAGACAAGCCATCAATGTTTCTACAAACCAAATTACAATGTAGCTGGGTTTAAATGTAATTATGGGGATAAGTGTTGGACATTTGTTAGGAGCATAATTTAAAAAAGAACTTGCAGTAGATTGCATGTGTTTCATTGATATAAGCTGAAAGTAAGGCTACCAAGTATATCAGAGCATGAAGGTCCCAGAACTGAAGAGAAATGATTCAAAGTTTCTAAAACCTGCTGAAATTGTGACGTTTTACTTTTGAAGTGAAACAGCAAAAGATGGCTTCTATACTCCACTGCATCCAGATGACCACACTGTGCGCCAGTAAAAAGCATTTTTTTACACGTAACTTACTTTTGTTCAATAAAGTTCTGGGGAAAAGGGTAATTCAAAGATGTTGCACCCGTGCAACATTTAAAAATAGACAGACACGCACAGCTCTGCTCTGATATGGAAGAGCCTGGGGGAAAATCAGTACGTCATTAGCACCAACCATAGATATGTACAGACTAGCGAGAAAAGCAATTTTTGATCTTCTTTTTCTGCAGCGGTTTTAGTGCTTTTCGGTGCACCGCTGCTGATACAGCGCCCCTCTAGTGGCGCAATGCTGCAACTGCAGTTAAAATAACATCAATATAGCTGGAGGCAGAGTGAAATCAGGCTGGGGCGGAACAAAATTAGCTGAAGGCGGCCGCCACGCAAATTTGAATGCAGGAAACACCCTAGCTAAATAAAAAGATGTTTTGGATTATCAAAATACTGTAGAGGTTTTTGTAAAAGTCTTTCAGTTCAATAAGACGTCGAATGCTGACGATTCTTCCTGTAAACCAACACATTTTATTCTTTTTGGGGGTTTGTTGAGAACATGTCGTACATGTTTTTATGAAAGTCTTTCCACACCCGTAGATACAATTATTACCAAGTTGTGTAAAAACAAAACCTAAAGAAAGGTTCCTTTCCCACACACTCTGTGCCTAATCTAAGATATTTTATTTGTCTGCTGTGAAAATCTGCCTCAGATCATGTGACAAGTGAATGGATTCAGGAAAGGTTTTCATTTGTAGCGGAGTTTTAGTCATGTTTTATCAGCGAAGCTGTTTGAATGCTGTACTTCAGTCGGAAAACAATTATGTCACACACACACACACACACACACACACACACACACACACACACACACACACACACACACGCATCAATAAAAGATTGTCTTTAGGCAGCAGGTACAGCAGCAGACAGTTTTGGGAGGTCCGGCTTGTCGGGACGGAATCTGCATCATCAGGATAATAGCATCTCAAGTTCAAGTATATCCATCAGGCTGCTGTTGACTCCCAGGTGCCTGTCGCAGCAGAAACAGGCGCTAGCCGTCACTGTCCAGCTCCTCATGTTCACTTGACCTTCTCCAAAACAAGCTAATACGTTAGCACTTGAACCCTGATAACTCAGGTGTTGGGTGACTTAATCCATGTAAAAGGAGTTAAGGAGTACTTTATATGAGCAGCTTCTTGACATCTGCTGGGTTTCCTCCGTTCTCCTCCTCTTAGCAAGCACCTTCACTTATATTCTTCTAATGAAGCGGAACAATAAGGAGCTAAGGTGGAGTCACATCCATCAGACTTCCTTTCATTAAAGCCTCTGAATGAGCTCTGGAAGTGAGTCTCCACCCCTCCAATTAAAATCAGGTCAATACTAATATCCAGGTAAAACCCCACATCCTTCTCTTCCTCCTGATTTTCATATATGCAGTCTAGTCAATAACCCCCTCATCATCTCCTTCATTATGAAGCTTCAGTCAGACAAACACCAATCAATGGGCTCATGCAGCGGCCCACGGCAGGGACTGATGGGGTCAGGGTCAGCTCTGCTGCTTTTGTGTGTTGGCTCTACTGTGTAAATCTGAGGAACAATACCGGGGCAATCAAAGCACCCCAGTTGTTATTAATCAGTTTTCAGGATGGAATGGAAACACTGCTAGGATGAAATGGAACTTTAATTGCTCTTGGGTTGCAGCTTAAGTGAAAACACAAAGCAGAAACTGGAAACCAAACCAATGAGGAGGAACTGATGCTGCAGAATTTAGGCTCGTGTGTGGGGATTAATGCATCGAATCAATCAACTAATGCCGAAAATCTTACAACAGTGAATTAGGAATTTTAATTTTTATCATTTCAAAGTAAATTCAAAATGTTGAGAATAACTTCACTAAATTAAAGTTATTATTTGAGAATAAAATGGCAGCCAAGAACTAAACCAGCTGTGGTGGAGAAATCAACGGTACCCGTATTCCTCATGTGAATCAGCCAGTATAACCCCACAACTCTAACTGTCTATGGAGAAACATGTAACTGGAATCAGTCTGTTTCAGAAGCTTTGAGGTTTTGAGACTTTTATTGTGAAAGGATCAGATTCATCTGCTGTCAGATGAGTTCAGCAGCCTCTACACCTTTATTCAATTCAGTTCAATTTATTTCAAGTTTATTTATATAGCGCCAAATCACGACAAGAGTCGTCTCAAGGCATTTCATGCAGTAAACATTCCAATACAGGTCAGGGGCCTCATTTATCAAGCTTGTTTACGCACAAAACGAGGTCAGAATACTGCGTAATCAACTTTCCACGCAAACTTTGGGATTTATGAAAGAAAATTGAGTGGAAAAATGTGCGAAACTTTAAGTTGACTAAGGACCTGGTTTATGCACATGTTGGACATGAGAACACCTGCAGTGCTGCTGCTGAGAAGGATAAAATTATGAAATCCTGCAGCATGATCACTTGTACTGCTTCGTTTTCACACAGAACAAGAACCCCCACATGCACACACACGAGCGCGTACACACACATGCGCGCACACTCACACACACGGGCTCACACACACACACACACACACACACACACACACACACACACACACACACAGCCTAAAGCGCAGAATACGGAATGTAGAATATCAGCAGGGGGACAGATTGAGACAGGATTTCATGCGTCTGTGACAATGTGTGTGTCCTGTCACTGTAACCCGATTGATCATGCGCCCTGGCTACTTGTACAACGAAGCTCTCTGTTTGGCTGACTGGTTAGTGTGCGTGACTTTCACCAGGGAGTCTGGGGATCAAATCCCGATTGGACCATTTTTTAAATATCAGCCACAGATCTCTCTGAAGAATTCACAACATTGACGGCTTCAGCAACGCTGTGCCACTCCGTGGATTTTCTCTTATTTGTTTTGCAAAAGCACTTCCTTTCATTTCAACACCTCACCCACAAATACCTCAATTTCTGCTTCTGTGAAATTGCGCTTCCTTGATCTGCCTTGATCTATGGTCGCCATGTCATTGGCGGAGCGCTGCAACAGGCAGCTTATGTATATGCATGAGATCCACAAGGCACTTTGCACTGACTATTTATAGCAGTAAGTGGGCATGGTGAGAGCGGGATGTGACTAAAATGCAGCTGAGAAACATTCTTGTTAGTCTCCGATTTATGAAGCAGAGATTGTGTGCAGCTGTGCGTACTCCATGTTTGATAGATCACAAACCTACTTGGCGTAAGTACTTTTTTTTTACTGAGCTTAAGTACGGTTTTAGTAAGGATTCTACACAATGTTTTATAAATGAGACCCCAGTTCATTAAACCAATCAGTAAAAAGTTTCCTATATAAGGAACCCAGTAAATTGAATCAGGTCACTGACTGGTGTCAGAATCTCTACAGGAATCCTCATAATAAGCAAGCATTTAAGGACAGTGGAGAGGAAAACTCCCTTTTAACAGGAAGAAATTCCAGAACTGCGCTGCTCTGGGTGGCTGCATGTTGGAGTAGCTCTGTTGACTATATGTAAGTTTTGCCATTTCTTGGACATTTTTTCTTATGATTTCTCGGGAGGAACGGTAATTTTTTGGACATTTTACTTTTCTGTTTCGGGTGCTGTGAAGCTTGGAGGATTTTTACTGCTATTTTTTCACTTTTTTCACTTTTTGAGCATTTGTTATGATGCGTAACCATGGCAACAAGCTGGTTTACAATCGGGAGCAGCTGATTAACATTGGAATTGCTGAAATAATACCTCAACTTAAGCCACAAATCCCAAATGAGCTAAAACGCAAGAAGCGTGGGTGCAGAGCAGGAGCAAAACGGAGACAGAGAAAGAGGAAATTCAAACCATCTCTTCCATTGGTCATAATGGGCAATGTGAGATCACTGGCCAACAAGATGGATAAACTCCAAGCCCTTTCAAGGACTCAGCCAGAGTT